CTTTGTTCAATTTATGACATAAAAAGTAACTATGCATCAATGTTTGCTGAAAATATTGTGCATTTTTTCCATTTCCTACAGAGACTGTGTTTACATCTTTTCAATTAAAAAAAGACCAAAATATGTTATTTATTGAGGGCTGCCCAAACCGTGGCATATATATATATATCTCCTGTCCTGCTGTTACTGTATGTCTTCAGGATGGACTAGTGAAAGCAAACATGGAGAAGCTGACCTTCTACGCCCTCTCTGCCCCGGAGAAGCTGGACCGGATCGGGGCCTACCTGTCGGAAAGACTGTCTCGCGATGTGGCCCGACACAGATATGGGTAAACAGCGGCGCGCTGGAAAGTCATGCCTTCAGTTCCACAAAACAAAATTTGTTTTTTGAATTTTATTAGCTTAAAAGTTTAATTCCTTTTTTTTGGGAAGTTCAATAATTTCTCAGTAAAGAGTAACAGACCACACTATTCATATGATTTGAGATGCTAATTATGCTACAAACATAAAGTTCCTAAATCTTTTACATGCATTGCACTAGTAGCTATTGATAAATTGTGGGTTTGTTGTACAGAAAAAAAAATTCTATGCTATGACAAGCACCAGAAATAAATTATTTTAAAAGGTTTCAACTGAAATATAAATTAAAAATAATTCCTAAAAAATTCCAGGACTTACCTTCCCAAAAAAAAAACTCACTGGTCCTTTGCATTTTAGAAGTAGAGCAATGAAAATTAGCTTTAATTTAACCTAATAACCCCTAACAACTTACTACTTACTTTAATCTGTGGCTGATTTTTTCCAAGATCAGCCAGGAAATACAAAATTGAAAATGTGTGTGGTGTGCTGAGCCTATGGGACCATCTTAAGAGACACTAACACAAACAAAATCAGTACCGGAAATAGGCAAGCAGATCCTGCTGATCGGCATTAAGCAGGAAACCCATGATTGTTTATCTTGACACACACAGAGTGGGCAGCAATAGCATTTACCTTTGTATTTGCTAAAAGCTGCTGCCACGTTCCCAGCTAACAGGGAACATTCCCAGAACTATGGCCAACATTGTGTAAATATAACCTCAAAATTTGCAGAGAACATTATTTACACATTTTACATTTTAACTAAGGTTCTGTCAACGTTGGCACGATAACATTATTAACTGAACATCCTATTAATGTAATTAATATTGAAAAATAAAATTTCATAATAGTCCATCCTTTGAATATGCCATTCAACTTTGAACCCATGACCTTGGAGGGGAAACGCCACTATATTACCCACTGCACTACCTTGTCCTTTATTTCATACAATATTAGCTTTATTTTGGGGGCGGCATGATGGTGCAGTTGTTAGCACACACACTTCTGGAACCAGGGCTTGAGTCTCCGGCAGAGTTCCGTGTGTGTGGAGTTTGCATGTTCTCCTTAAATCGTAATGGGGTTACATCTGGGTACTCTGGTTTCCCCCCACAGTCCAAAAACATGCTGAGGTTAACCGAAGTTCCCAAACTGCCCGCAGTTGTGCATGTGTGAGTGACTGGTGCGTGATTGTGCCCTACAATGGGATGGCACCCCATCCTGGGTTGTTCCAGGCCTTTCACCTGTAGTATCCAGGATTGGCTCTGGATCCCCCGTGACCCTGAAGAGGTTAAGCGGTTATAGAAAATGTAGGGATGGATAGTAGTAGTGGGATAGAATCCTGGGAACATCAGGAACACTGGAATCTTTCAACATTTCCATAATGTTCGGTAAACACGCCTAGCACAAAAAATGAGTAGCTGGTTTGTCTGACTGGAGCGTTGCCTCTGTCTGTTTCTCCAGGTATGTGTGCATCGCCATGGAGGCCCTGGACCAGCTGCTGATGGCCTGCCACTGCCAGAGCATCAACCTGTTTGTGGAGAGCTTCCTGAAGATGGTGCGCAAGCTGCTGGAGGCCGACAAGCCCAACCTGCAGATTCTGGGCACGAACTCGGTGGGTGGCGCTTTTCCGGCTCACGGTACCACCCCGCCGCGGCTTCCCACCACCCGCGGTAGCACCCCGCCGCGCCTTCTCCCACACGGATACTCAGCTACAAGCCGCTGACATCACCTCCCTAATGTTAGTTCATTTAAGTTGCCGAGAGAATAGCCAAAGAAAGGCCACTTCACAGGCACAAACCTCTTTTTGTCTTCTATCTATTTGTCCAGAGGGCAAAATGCTAATTTGTGGAATGACTGGCCAGACGTTTTCATGCATTGATCCATCCACCCACCCATCTTCCAACAACTTATGTCGGTGTTGGCTGACAGCCTATCCCATTAAGCACAGGACACAGGGCAGGGGAAACACACACTTATGCACACTCCAAAAAAGTTATTTGGAAAAAAGGGCAACATTTAGATTGCTCATCTAACCTTGTCTGGATACTTATAAATTCATAGTACAATATTAGTACAAAACAACATACAATGCATACAATTGTGCTGCTTGGATTTGGAGAGTATATTATTGCCACTACTACAGATCACCACGCTAAGTGGCAAGAGGAAACAAATGAGTTACACTAAAAGGCATTCAGATTATCAATAAAATAAAAAAAAAGCCTATAGGTTAAATATGCAACATTTGTTACACAATCATATTTTTATAGGTATATAAGTGTAATTCAGCACAGTAATTGACATTATCTGACAGTCATCAAAATATCCATCAAAGAAATAATTTGGATTAGATGTTGTACAAACCTCTCAAGAAAGAAACAACTGGAACTGTTACAGTATGTTTCCTTTATACTTGCCACATTTGTCCATGTCCGTGCCGTAGTTATCCTAAGGGGCTGAGATATGGAGCTGAAAGATTGAGAGATTGGTTTGGTGGATCAAGGCCAGCCAGTTAGGGGCTCACAGCTACACTTCTGATATGTACAGGAATCCCTTTCTGCATCTAAGTAGACAGCACATATGCTTTTTTGGAACAGGATGCTCTAGGTGTTGGCAGGAATACTGCTATATTACGGGAAGATGAGATCATTTTTGCTGTAGCCTTTTAATTTATTTACCTTGGGGTCTAAAAAATAAGCTTTGAAATGTTACAAACTGTAACAATTTTCATTGCAAACTGTATACATTTAGTTTTCCTCTGAGATAAAGAGGTAATCAGTTTGCACCCTAAAAAAGCATTTGTATTTGCAAATTCTTATTTTGATATCTTATTTACTCCTGGTTGAATGGCATAAATGACTCAGAAATTAAGAAAGAATTATATGGACGGAAAAACTGAAATGCTAGACGGACTTTTCTTTTTCTCTGTCGTGACAGAAAAGCAACAATGTCCAGGCTATTTCATAAAATGCCATCGACTCGTTTTATGTAGGCGGTTTTTGAATTCGGGTCACAGCATGGCATGGCTTCTGCTTTATACCAGTTCATCACAGGGGTCCTGCGCAGATTCACTTAACAAGGGCAAATCAAAGTTTCTTAAAGGGCATCCATTTGGGAGGTGGAAGGATCTGAAACCAGCAAACCAAGAAACTCCAGCACTCAGCAGAAACAAAGTCTGTTTTTGGATCCGGCTGAGCAGTCATGGCGCCGTCTTTAAATATCTCATTGCAAATTTGTTTTAGCTGTGTCTAGTCTGGTGTGCCTCCGTTTATTAAAATATAAAGGGGAATTTTATGTGAGATATATTTGCATGGTCTGAAGGGCTTGATGGATATATTTATAGGGTTGTTTACCAGTAATATTTGGCTTGATGCTTACCCTGTCACGAGCGGCACAGGGAAGCAGGCGAAGGAAGCCGTGGATACGAAAAAGGGATTTATTAACGGGGTAACACAATCCAAACACATGTAACGTTAATGACCGGACTCGGAAAACAAACTGAAACGCGTACTAAATACATTGAACTAATGACAGCAACAGGAAACAGCTGGTGAACATGGGGATTCCACACGGGGTAGATGAGGGGGCGTGGCACACGGGAGGATCGGACGAGCGGGGCATGACAACCCTACCGTTCTCAAAAAGAAAATTAAAAAAAAAATAGCTGATTTGCAACTTGTTTGAAACAGTACACAAAAATATTTTTTGATTTTGATTAATTCCATGAATTAGATTGAGATGATGCATAATTAAATGTAATGGATTAGAATTCCATATGTTCCGTCTTGTGGTGTCCTGTGCACGGAACTCTAAGTATTTACCCCTTTTATCCATCTAGTTTGTGAAGTTTGCCAACATCGAGGAAGATACTCCCTCGTATCATCGCAGCTATGATTTCTTTGTGTCCCGCTTCAGCGAAATGTGTCACTCCACCCACGACGACCCTGAAATTCGGACAAAGTGAGTCATGTACGAGAGTTTATGACCTTAGGCCGTGTTTCTAAGTAGCTAAATCAGATTTATGCCAAAGTTACTATTAACTATTCTTAGTTAACTTACCTCATAACTGTCAAAATCGATCCTATTTATGTTGCTAATAACGCTATTTGCCCACTGCACAGAGTTCCTTCAGTGGACAAAAATGTCACCCCAGCTGTATCTCTCAGGACATTTTTTGCTGCATGTTTATCCAAAAGTCGAAAGCATATCTGGTGTGAAGATCTCCCCGTCCGTCTCCAAGGATCCGCATGGCAGGGATCCGGGGTCTGCAGGGAGTGGTGAGGAAGACTGTGAACGATGAACTTCAGGCCAACATCTGGGACCCGCGACACATGGATAAGATCGTGCCGTCGCTGCTGTTCAACCTCCAGCAGGAAGGGGGCAGAGAGAGGTTGGTGTCCTCATACGTTGCATTAGGTTCGTCAAACTGAGATAGGTCAGGTGCTTCTATATTTCTCATGCTCTTAACTGGAATGAAATGCTATTTGCAGCATGAAATAAATAATCTGGAAGAATGCACATTTCCGAAACACTTGATTCTAGCATTTTCCGTTTATCATTGTGATTGAATATACTAGTAGATGAATGCGACTGACAAAACGAGTGCAATGTACCCTAAAGTACTGGAATGTGAGGATGAAATCTATTATCTTTTGAAATTCTCACAAAATAATATATACTATAATGACTATAATAATAATATATATATATATTATTGAGCTGTTTCATTTGACAGATGAAACAGCAGGAGCTTTGTATGAATTACAGAGACACAGTAATATTTACGATTTTCAGCTGGCTGTTACATTTCTTAAGTGAAGAATATTAGAGAGTAATACTTCACAACCAAACAGATCATTCTAGATTGCATCTCACTGCCTCTTTCAGTGTTTTTCTTCATAAGCTGGTAATAACATTAATGTGAAGGCCTAACATGAATGGTGTCAGTGTCCCCTAGAGAGGACAGACTGACTTTCAAGAGTTATTTTGAAGGCTGTCACACTGCATCAAATTACGTTTTTACTTTGCACTATTAATTATTACTTTTCAGGCAATTTTTAGCAAACTGCAGTGAAACTCCGAAACTTATGTGTGGTATGTGGTAGATATTATGCATCAGTGGTCTATATCATTACCTTTGAGCCTTTGATTAAAGCATCAAATTTGCTATGGTGTACCCCAGCCTGTGATAGGTTCCAGGCCCCTGCTCAGACCCTGATAAGGATAAGCAGTTTGAATACAGATGGATGGATGGATTTACAGAGAAAAATCGAGCCTTTTCTCATCTAATTTTTTAGAATAATTGGACAAATAAAATTTAATATCTGTAACATTTTTACTTGATGCTGTCATCTAAAATGTATTATAGATACCTTCATAATGCATTATAATGGTTGGTATGAGAATTAATAAAACCTAACAGCGTCTTCTATCGAGAATCATAAGACATTATAGTGTTGATTATAATACTTCAAAAGCTCCATTTAAGCTCTCATCAATAATGCACTAAAGATGCCTTCATAATGTATTATCGTTGTCGGTATAAGAATTGAAGATGCTTTGTACTCCATTATGAAGGTACAGTATCTATAGTGTATTCTAGATGAGAGGTTCATAAAGTATTTATAATGCATAATAAACTTGGCTTTAATGGGTTATGCCTTTTTCTTAATATTTATAGCCATGTTTATAATGCTTTATGAATGCATTATAATGTATTATATATGTGTTTATAGATTCTTATATATGTGGCATTCATAGAAAGTGTAAGAATATCTTACTATCTTACTATAATATCTTATCTTACTAATCATTTTTAATTTATCACAATGCAGCTATTAACAGAAGTGAAATGGGAGTAAAATTTGTCAAGATACTGGAAGAGAAAAACCTAATAAGAATTGGCTGGAAATATTATGAAGGTAGAGATGTATTTAAAGTAGGACTCTCAGTTCAAAAAGGATTTATAGGCGCTGTCGGAGGAAGCCAAGGCATATTGTGCATCTGAGGCCATTTTTTTTCATGCACGCCTCCCCACTGGGGAACGATAGAGATTGAAAAATGACAAATTCTTGTTGACGGTTGTGCCACGGTGATGATTGCGCCAGGGGCTGTCGCATGTAGGCGATCAAGTGACTAAGTGCTTTTGATCACACGACACCCGTGTACTGACACACGTGTAATGATGACTCATGTACCCCCCCCCCCCCAGCCAGTCACCCCCACCACTGCCACCATCACAAGTCTCTGAGAGGGATGCAGACAGCGCGGCTGAGCTGACAGAACGATGTTTTCGGGAGCTTCTGGGACGTGCGGCTTATGGCAACATCAAAAATGCTATCACGCCCGTACTTATGTGAGTTTGTGCTGGGGGCACCACGTATTAAGCTAAAACTAATGGCTTACATTAAATTATACATAACCTCATGGCAAAGTGCCATGAAACTGAGTGATAGCTAGCAGCTAGTTCAGAATTGGAAGGACGTGGGAGTGTGCTGTTTGAGTTCATTGCGATGAGTTCATTCTCCATCAGTGCATCATCTTCTCCTGTTTATTTTCCAGGCATCTCGACAGCCACTCTCTCTGGGAGGGCAAGACCTTTGCTTGCCACTGCTTCAAAATTATCATGTACTCGATCCAGGTCAGCTGCATGTCTGATGTGCAGAGTGTTACTTTGTAAAAGTACAGATGAAAAAAGGTTCAGGGAAAAGTACAAGATTCTCCCATGGGAGTTTCAGAAACAGTGTGGAAGATATGTACACCTGCTTACCCAACACCTGGTTAACTGCAGGATGTGCACATTTTCTTTTTAAAATTCTTTTTCCTCATATTATTTAATTTAAAAATACCCAAACTGTTCCATGATTATTCTGTTTTAAAACATCATTGTGTTGCTTAATGTTTTCTTGTTAAGTGTAAATCAATGTACATAATAGTGTTCTTCCCATACACAATTACATCTAAACATAACAGATATAACTGTCTAAACTATATTAATAGCAAAAGACTTTGTTCTGATTCCCTCCAAGTCTGTTTTTTTGGTAACACGTTACTTAAGGCCATGTTATTGTAAGTTATAAACACATTCATAATGCATTATAAACATGGTTATAAATATTTATAAAAAGGCATAACATCACAGTCATGTTCATTGTGCATTATGAATGCTTTATGAAGCTCTCATCTATAATGCACTATATGTCCCTTTATAATGCAATACAAAGCATCCTTAATGCTTATACTGACCATACATTACACTACTCTGTACTGCATTATCTATAGTGCATTATAGATGCCAGCTTCATAGAGCACTCATAATGCACAATGAACATGGCTATAATGTCTTATGCCTTTTCATAAATATTTATAGCCTTGTTTGTAATGCTTTATGAATGTTTATAAATTACTAAAAAAAGCATGGCCTGAAGTCAAGTGTTCCCCCTTTATCTTTCTCCATTTCCATGCCCCATTTTATGTCTCCCTTTTGTCCTTTTTCCTACTCTTAGTCTCAACATTCTCACCTAGTCATCCAGCAGCTTCTGGGGCACCTAGATGCCAACAGCAAGAACTCTGCCACAGTGCGAGCTGGGATAGTGGAGGTGCTCTCTGAAGCAGCTGCCATAGAGGCCAGCGGCTCCATTGGCAAGTGCCTTAACATGGTGCACTTAGTTAGCTACATTTATTTATGACATCTGACCACTAGAGGGTGCTCATCACTAATACCCCATATGTTTTTATTCAGAACAAAAAAACTCTTTGACCTGCATCAGTTTCAGGATGGTCAGAATTCCATTATTATCAGCCTGAGGTTAAGGGCTACTTCGTAATAATAGACTATCCATCTGTTTTTGAATCTTTTTGAAAATCAACCAGGAAATAACTACATCAGGCCTCATTTGACAAAAGTATAACCAAAATAGAATTGCCAGCCAAACAAGCCCCCCCTACTGATGAATACACCTGCGTAAAGACTTTTAAATGACTACAGGGTGTGTCTCATTTTAATTATAATATCTATAACAATGACTCTGAGAATAGCTACTAGGATGAAACATATACTAACATTCTTTCAGGCTTTGTTTCATGGTATCCTTAATCATTTATGAAAGAAAATAATTATTTCTTGGTAATTATATATCAATAAAAGCAAAATTACTAGATTTGATCTTGAATAAGGAAGTGTGATCATACTCCTTATGCAGGATTTTCTCTTCCTCGCTCTCCACATCACTTTATATAACTCTGCCTCTCTCCCGCTGTCACATTGAGTGATAATCTTTTTTAGTAGGTGCCAAATTCCGTAATTATATCCCAATATCCCTGGCTCTGAGCTGCTGTCTCTAAGAGTCCACCCCTGCTGCTCCCTTCCCCAGGGCCCACCGTACTGGAGGTGTTCAACACCCTGCTGAAACAGCTTCGCTTCAGCGTGGACTACGAGTTGACCGGCTCCTACGACTCCTGTGGTGACGGTGGCCTCAAGGTCAAGGTGCATGAAGAGAGGCAGCTGCAGGAGGCGGTGATCAAGATGATCGGTAAGAGGCCGGCGATCATTAAAATGCGATATACCATGGTACTGTTTGTTCAGAAGGGTATTTCTATAGATACAGGCAGTCCTTGGGTTAAAAACCTCTGTCTTACAGACAACACGTCCTTAAGATTGGACTGCTGTAAAGCCTGTTATATTAAAAATCTGGATTAAATACAATGATACTTAATAACGAATGAAGACACTACTTTGTGATGCTCATGAAAATATCACGCAGCTTCAGTGGTCCGTTGGCTTGAGGTTCAGTACGGTACCTTAAAATTACAGACGCAGAACACAATTTAAAATTAAACTCTAAAAACAAAGAATTTGCTATAAAGAGCAAATGCTAAATGGAGGATTTTCCAAATTCTTTTAACATGTACAGAATAAAAATCACATTTGAACTAATGACGGCTTTATGGCCTTAGCAGCAGACAGTTTTCAAATTGACAACATGACTTGGGTCACATTTAAGGCAGAAGAAAGTAGTTCTGCTAATAAATACACCTTCAGCTCATAAATATGAAAATAATATCTTTTGGTACAAACGTGTTACCCAAATTTGTAGTAATTGTGGTATATGCAGATTAATGTGCTCCAATCCATGCAATGTACATTTCTAAACACGCTCCATAGCCTTATTGTGCTATAATGCTTAAGAAAAAAGCCTGGATAATTATTACAACATGATTGATCGTTTTTCTAAATTTATATACTTATATATAATAACCTACTTTCTCTGGTGAGGGTTGCAGTGCCTATTTATAGTGCACATAAAAAAATATTATAGATAATGCATCAATAATAACAATAGGTAATACTATATGTCCATGTCATTTTCCTCTCCGAAATTAGCTGCGTTCATTCATCAACAGAAACCCTACACTGTCCGAAAAATGAGTACCAATTTGTACTTTTGCTTGTCCCTGAGGCTGTACCCTCAGAAGTCTTAGTTCACCTTTGCTTACTTTTGTTCCTTGGGTTGTTCTTTTCATGGAACTTATATTTTAACTTTTGCCAAACCTCATATCATAGCTACTGTATGAGCATGTTGCCTCTAGCACTTCTTCTGACGCTGTGTCTGCTCTCCGCGTGCCCTAAGGGTCATTTGCCAATACCCTGCCTGCATACCAGTGCTCAGAGGTTATGATGTTCATCATGGGCAAAATTCCCATTCCTGGAATGTACCCGGCCTTTGGATCTGCCAGCTCAGGGTGAGCCTTAGCCACTGAATATTAACCAGTGGGACTGTAGTTTTCCAGCACAATGATCTGATTATTAGCATAGTACCTTTAAGTCACAGGACAACCACTGGCATCACTGGCTCATCTCTTTATGGTTTTCATTTGGATGACATGACTGTGTTTTGTCCATAGGGTTGAAAACTGTAGAATGATACAAGTCATGCTGCTGAAGTCATTATTGCAGGTGAGTATTATTAGTATTGTCACATAAGAAGAGGCCATTAATATATTTGTTTTAAGAACAGATACAGTATTTGTATTTCAGCGCAATACAGTGTCTTCCTCTCTTTTTGGTTTTTCACCTCCTGAGAAAATCTGGATGTTTGTTGGGAGCCGGCAGCCAGAATGAAGCCACTATGATTCTAGAAAATTCTCAGAATCAAGAAAAGCTACAATCACCCTAGACATAAATTTTCATGACCAAACTGGAATGATTTATGTGGCCGTCACTTTTGGAGGTGCCCTCTAAATGTATGGGATGACATAGATACAGAAGTTACAACATTCATTGTTTTTTCTAGATGAAAACAGCCTGATTACTAGGTATCCAGAAAAAAATCATAAACCATACAAAAAAACTCCCATAAACTATCAACATTAAAGAAAAATGAGGAAAATCAAGCAATAAATGAATAATAAGTCTCCTTCATGTTAAAAATTGTATAATACGACTGATGCACGCCTTCATAGCTAGCCAAAGTTCCTATTGTGAGTGTTTGTTGTCTCCTCCATCCTCATCTCCCTAGGTGACGAGAGGCTTCCGGGCCACTAACATGCTGACAGCTCTGCCCAACTCCTTTCTGGATCCCCTGCTCTCCTCCGCGTTGATGGAGGACGCTGAGGTCCGTCTCCTGGTCCTGGAGATCCTGGTCAGCCTTATCGACAGGCATGACAATCGACCCAAATTCTGCATTATCAGGTCAGATGGTACGCTTCAGATCTCACAGAATCCTCTGAGGAATACTCAGATGAAAACCAAAGAGCATCGTGCATGTCAAGAACAGGATTGTGTGACATGGTTGGATATGATCATACTTAGAAATACAAGGAAGACTATCATTTAAAGTAATAAAAATTATAATTAAAAGCACATCTTCCCTGGTCATGAATAGATGCCAATGACACAGTGATGGGCTCATTAATCCAATCCAGCAACCTGTTGGGAGACAATGGGTGAGCAGGGCACCCAATAAATGATTAATAAAACTTTTAATTACCTGAACTTTACTGTACCACGGTCCGAAAAAAAATTGTAAAACATGTTTACCATTTATCTGTTATGGAAACTAATGTTTCAGTTTTTGGCAAATGATTCAGTTACACATTACACAGAACACATTACGACTTATTCAGAAATGAGACAATACTCTTTGAGTAGACTGACACTGAAACTCTGCTTACTTTATGTATTCACAGCATCATCCCTGACATCTCCCTACTGAAGCTGAAAGTAGACAAATGCTCTCGGCAGGACAATCTCTTCATGAATAAGGTGCTTCTTAATCCATCTCTCTTCTAGAGATGGTAACCACAGGCTACATTTCCCGAGACTGGGTAAAAACCAGTTTGAGAATTGGAGAGTAGCTCTCTCGATACAGTAAGATAGGGACATTGAGCATGCCATAACAATCAGCAGTACAAATAGTCCCGCTGTAATGCAATGACCTGTCTGGCCTTTGGGTGGCAGCATTCCCAGCGTCTGTACCGGCACATTTTCATGTCCTGCAAAGAGGAGAGTAGCACCAGGCCACACTTCGAGGCACTGTATGCCCTGCTTGCCCTCATCAGCATGGAGCTGGCTAATGAAGAGGTACTTGTGGATCTCATCCGTCTGCCCCTGGCCCTACAGGTACACACTCCTCCTGGAAACCTAAGCTTTTTTCCAACACAATCCCCTTTGGCATGTTTGAGATATTTGTCCGGTTTTGCATGTGTCTTTTCAAGGACCTGGTTCTGGCCAATGAAGACGGCCTGCCAGTGTACAACCGTTGCGCCATCCATGCTCTGTGCGCTGCCTACCTGAACGTCATCAGCCAGCTGACCACTGTGCCGACCTTCTGCCAGCATGTCCATGAGGTATGCAACTGCAGGACCACACAGCTGTTAGTAGACTACTAGTTTAGAAAGTGGATTTAAAGTTCCATGGCAACAGGTCCAAATCCCAATAAATGTCATTATGCTCTACTAATATGTAGAGGTATCAAACTTAATGTTGATTTCTTCTGCAAGATTTCCACTTGAGCAAATTGTCCAGCACTTATGTGTTAGCTAACAGATAATGATAAGTTAATACCTAAGTTGTGCGAAGAATAGCTGTGCAAGAATCTGACATTAGCATCTGTTTCCTCTCAGGTTATTGAAAATCGACAGAAGGACGCTCCTTTTCTTTTGCCTGAGGACGTCTTCACTGAAAATCCCCAGTGAGTGTATACGTCTTCTTAAGTAAATGCATCTCTCTGCTATTTTACTCACTAACTAAACTCAAGAACAGCAAGAGCAGCTACAAAGGGTGTTGCACTAATGTGAGCAAGTTTAACTGAATGTATTAGGGCTCCTGGAAGTACCTTCTTCAGTGGGTGATGAGGTCTTTTTTCATGTCTTCTTCATAGCTGGCAGTGATGCAGTGATTCAGTTTAGACGCATTTTGCAGTATCCACACTGCCTTTCATGGATACAGATCACGGTCTACCCATTTATCATTTGTATATCAAAATATATCTCATAAAAAGCCTCATATCTGAAAACCAGCAGATGGATATATTATATCTGAGTTGTATTAAATATCTTGACATATTTGCTTACAAAAAGCTTAATATCACACAATGATTCTTTGGCAGTTCTCTTTGGAACTGAGGTTTTGGATGTCTTTCATGTCATTCCATGATTCTTGAAACTCTTGCAACCTTTTAACTAGAATCCCCAGGACACTGGAAAATGTAGAAGGAGGGGTTCTGTTCCTTCAGAGCAAAATCACAGAAGTTTTGAGAGGCAGTGGGTACAACACAGAGAGACTGGCCACCCCATACATTCCACAATTCACAGGTAATGTCCATCACTAATAGGACATTACAGCCGCTATCTGTAATTGTCATAGTTTACATTAACGGGCTGTACGTTTGTCATGGTTGGTTCATGAGTCTTTATGTTTTATTTGCAGATGAGGACAGACTTTCGAAGAGGAAAAGTATTGGGGACACTGTATCTCTACAAATGGAAGTGGACTCCAGCAACAGCCCAGAAAAAAAGGTGGTTAGATAAACAGCAAGTCACTAGATCAGAGGCATGGATACCCTGGCAGATTTACCATGTCTACCATGGGATCCGTATTTTTTCAGATCGAATGTGCCAACCCAAGCGGGGGACCCCAAGGTGACATTTTGTCAGTGGCCCGGCAAATTTCTTTCTATCTATACCCCTGACCTGGATATTGAAGATGAAGTTCAGCTTTTTGTCATTTAGTAGCCCTGTGACCTGCATCTTTTCAGTAGCTTCTTGGTGTTGTACTAAGTCCACATTTCTTCCCTGTTCCAGTGCACTCCTGCAGAGGAGATCACATTTGAAATTTTGAAGAAGACCATTGGTGAGTTATTTTGTATGGATATTTAATGCAGAGAACTGGCTTTACAAGTACGTTTATACAGAATTATTTTTATAGGTTTTGGTGTTGCTAAATAGAGAAGACCAGGATAAAAATATATTTACTGTCCTAAAATGATACAAGTAAAACTATTAAAACACATTCTATGTTAAATGGCATGTATTTCATCAATAGTGACCATGCTCACAGATCTGCCTTGATAATTCTTCAGTGAATAATGCTGGTACAGAAGAGCAAGAGCGAGAACGCAGAAAACAAGTGGTTGAGAAGTTCCAGAAGGCCCCCTTTGAGGAAATAGCTGCCCACTGTGGTGCCAGAGTAGGCATTCTGTTTTTTTAATAAATCTCTCTATTCCTCGGTGTCTTGTACAGTGATCTAATCCCTGCTTGGAATCTTGTCACACCTCCACCAGTACTCATTCGGGTCAGCTACAGGGTCTTCACCTACTAACCAGTTATCCTGGTCATGAGGGTTTTTCTTAATTACTAAAACAAAATATCTGCAGATATATTTTTGTAACAAATCTACAATTTAGTGTAACACTGTTAGTTTGTTAGTATAACTACTGTTTCCTTTTACTGAGCTCCTCTTAACTGCACAGAAAAGTCAAGTATTTTGAATTTTTTTTTTTTTTTTTTGCAGGCATCATTACTGCAGAGCAAACTCAATCAAATCTTTGAGCTCACCATCAGGTATGCATTGCTCTAAAAAAAAATCGTTGGGAAAGTAGGACCAAATATGTAAATATATGAGGTATTGCATGCTGTATTAAATTGTGTGATCTGATTGGGTGAAATTGTTTTTCTTGAAACCCAGGCCTCCCCCCAGTCCCTCTGGCACTTTAACTGCGGGGCAACAACAGGAACGATCTGTCCCTGTTTATGAAATGAAGTTCCCCAACCTCTGTGTGTACTAACATGCATGGCAAGGAGATCCTGACCAAGGAAGCAGGATTGGAACAGCAGCGTCTCTCTTTCTCTATTGAAAAATTCAGAAATCATCCTTCCTTGTGTTCTTGCTCCTCTTGTTATACTCCATGTGCTCAGTCCCACCTACATTTTGTGTAACAGTACTGACAGGTAACGATAATCTCTTGCAATCTGTTCTGCTCCGAACAAATGCAGAAACTGACACGACATCTCCCAGCTACCTGCAGTTGTCAGAGTCCTAAAACTCTCTTGTTCCTTTGTACTGTTGCTACCTTGGGTATAATTGTACAGAATGGGGGTGGGGGTACCCATGCGCAGAGGAATCCTTGGTTTATTCAGAAAATGTAGCCGAAACAGAATCCAAGAATTGCCGTCAGGAAAAGCCGAAACGTCTAAAGCCAGATCAAGACTGTCATAATCCAGAATTGGAATGCAATATCCAGGGCTGGTAAACACAGTCAATGACTCAGAATACACAGAAGGATCACAATACAGATTATAGCGCTCAGAAATGTAACAAAGGAGTATTTATAGAGGTACTGGGGAAATAAGCTGCAGGTGCTAAAACTCTGGTGAGTTTGATCAGAGAAAGTTACAAGTTATCTGGGCAGGCATACAGATCCAGGATTGTGACTGATCACAATAATAAATTGAAACGTAAAATAAGAATGATAATTTTATAGTAATAGAACTGTAAATTTTGAGGCAAATGTACGCAATATGCAATATGTAAACATTACAATTTGTGAATTCTGGGACGGTGCCGTTAAATTTAAGAGAGCCTGGTTTTTGGAGTAATGTTATTTATGGTTTTTGAATGAAATTCCAATTGAAGTTGGTCTATACTGAAGCTGTTCTTTACATGAAATCTATTGCTATTCAGGAATATGCTGTAGAAGACATGAGTAATGAACATTATTAAAATGGATAGTATATGTTTAGGATTCACCCTTAAACTTAATCAAGCATCTGTTACTGTATGCGCATGCTATGTTTTTTTTTTTTTTTTTTTTTACCAAATTCAGCCATTAAATCTCCTCACCAAAGAGCCATATTTGAAAATGTCGTGTATGAGCAGGTTGCCAGTAGTATACATCTCCAGCACTTTTAGGAGTGGGAGGATCAACTATAGATGTGAAGTCCAGTTTCAAACCTTTTTCACTTTCATTTATGGTAATAACTACAAAGTGAAGAATCTGCAGCGATTTTGTGATGAAATTATGGTGTCATTGTTAGTCCTGTGACAGTATCACTTACTTCCTGGTTGTTTATTAATCATTTTCTGAACCATAGTTCAAATCTGGTACAGAAGTGGATCGTTTATTTCACTGTACTTTTTGTGCTATTATGCTTTCCATGGTAAGATTCTTCAGATATAATTTAATTTATAAGAAAAGAACAATATTTATGATTCATATAATTTTGTGGATTCTGGTATTTATGCTTATGTGTACTTAACATATATATATATCTCATTTTTGATTACTGAACTGTACATTGTTTTTTGTTTTGTGATTTTCTACCAGATATTTTCAATTCATATTCATTTTAAACTTAATTAAGCCATTCTATGTCTCAGCAGTTGTTTGTAAAAAGCACTTGCTCCTTGCGGCTGTTTGAATCTTTATATGCTGGTATTGCACATTTTAATAAATGCAGTTTCCCCCCCCCAGACATTTTGTTATTGCTTTGAATTTGGTGTCATTTGTTTAAAGTAACTAATTGCCTAAAGCAGGATTTCCCAGTTCTAGTCTTGGAGGGCAGAATCCAGCACCTTTTTCCAGATTTCCCTGCTTAAACACACCTACTAAAGAACATAAGAAATTTACAAACGAGAGGAGGCCATTCGGCCCATCAAGCTCGTTTGGGGAGAACTTAACTAATAGCTCAGAGTTGTTAAAATCTTAT